ACCAATTTCTTCTAATAGGGAACGGATCCAGAGAAGTTCTGAAACTCCATGTGCCATGGCCCTATATTCAGCTTCAGCACTTGATCTTGCCACCACTGTTTGTTTCTTACTCTTCCATGAGACAAGGTTACCCCCCCAACAAGGCAAGAATCCTGTCAACTGCCTCCCAATGCTAGACTCATGGAACATGCATGTATTGACTTACTGCATAGGAAATGTCCGGTCTTGTCATACACAAGTATAGCAGCCGACCCACAAGTCTCTGATATCTCCCAACATCCTTTATTGATTCACCTTCTAATGCATTGATTTTATGGTTTTGATCAATAAGGGTGTTGATTGCCTTTGTTCCAAGCTTCCCTATCTCTTGAAGAAGATCCAAGACGTACTTCCTTTGAGAGATAAAAATTCCATATTTTGATCTTGCAACTTCAATGCCTAAGAAGTATCTCAGTTCTCCAAGATCCCTAATTTCAAATTCTTTATGTAGGTTCCTTTTCAGACAATCAATCTCACTTAGATCATTCCCGATGACAACAATAACATCCACATAAACAATTAGAACTGACACCAAAGATCCCCTTCGCTTCACAAATAAGGTGTGATCGGATTGAGTCTGAGTGTAGCCAAAAGCAATCAAGGCCTTTCTAAATCTGTCAAACCATGCTCCGGGAGATTGTTTCAAGCCATAAAGTGACTTCTTAAGCCTGTATACCTTTCCCTTTTCAATATCATTGTAAAAACCAACAGGAAGATCCATATACACTTCTTCTTGCAAATCCCCATTTAGGAAAGCATTCTTCACATCAAGTTGAAACAAGGGCCAAGAGTATGAGGCAGCAAGAGAAAGAAATATCCGAACAGAGGTCATCTTTGCAACTGGTGCAAAGGTCTCTAAGTAATCATGCCATAGGTCTGTGTGTACCCTTTTGCAACAAGTCTTGCCTTGTACCTTTCTATACTTCCATCTGCCTTATATTTTACTATGTAAACCCATCTGCATCAAGAGAGGAAAGAAAAACACGATAGGAAGGAAAAAGTCCACTGTAGGATAAGTACTGTGAAATACAATGAGCAGTACACTTTCTCTTCCCTTTTCTGAGAGCAATAGAGTGATCAAGGTTATCTGTAGCAATGTTAGTAGAATCAATGGGTACTGAAACAGTAGCGGGACCAAGACGAATACCTGAATCCATGTCATCCGAATCTGGAGTCTCCAAGGAATCAACAAAAAGTGATGTGAGTTCTGCTATAGTGGAACCAACCTCCTTGTGAAGTCTCTGTCGTAAGTAATGCTGAGAAACAGAATGCAAAGGAGGTGGCAAGGTAGGTGACATAGGGTGGTGGTCAAGCACAGGAGTAGACACAGGGACTGGAACTAGGAGAGGAATAGACTATTGACTCACTTCCCCAAAACACTCCCCCTGAGAAGGATTCTTTGAGAAGAAGTACGTGGATTCAAAAAAGGTGACATCCATGGTAACATACCAGCTCCCAGAGACTGGATCATAGCAGCAATACCCTTTTTGATTCTCTACATATCCAAGGAAAACACACTTCTTTGCCTTGGGATCAAGCTTCGAACGGTGAGGACCAAGGATATGTACAAAACAGACACACCCAAACACCCTGAGAGGAATATGAAACATCTCCCCCTGAGGAAAAAGGAGACTGAATGGGGTGCTGAATCCAAGTATACGAGAGGGCACCCTGTTCATCAGATATACTGCTGTGAGAACTACATCACCCCAAAACCGAACTGGAACTGTAGATGTGATCATCGTGCTTCTTGCAATATCAACAATGTGTCTGTTCTTCCTTTCTACAACACCATTCTACTGTGGACTATAGGGACAACTGCTCTGATGGACAACACTATATTCTAACAGATATGAGGCAAGGTGTCTTTCAAAATATTCCCTGGCATTGTCGGATCTGAACACCTTTATTCTTGTTCCAAACTGTGTTAGTACCATCTGATGAAATTGCCTCACCAAGGATGGTACTTCATCGCGGGATCTCATCAGGTAAATCCAMGAGTATCATGAGAAATCATCCACAAATAAGAGAAAATATCGATAGCCTCCCATAGAAGGAACATGGTAAGGGCCCCACACATCCGAATGAATAACATCAAAAGAATAACATCTTTTATTACTAGGTTTAAATGAATGTCTACAATGCTTTCCAAGTTGACAACCTTCACACTCCAGACTTGAAAAACTAACAGACTCAAAAAGTTTTGGAACCAAAAAACTCAAAGAAGAAAAAGGTAAATGGCCCAAACGATTATGCCAAAGCATAATTTGACCCACAGACCCTGACTCACTATCCCTACTGACATGATGGATCTGATGAGGAAGTACATCCAAGAGGTAGATTCCATTTACTTCACGACCACTCCCAGTCGTCCTCTTTGAATCTAGATACTGCAAAATACAATGACCAGGAGAAAAAATTACTGAGCAGTTCAAGTTCTTAGTCAAACTACTAACAGAAAACAAATTAGTGCCCAATCTGGGAACATGAAGGATGGAGGGTAGAGAAATAGAATCACTAATCTTAACAGATCCCTTCCAAGCAATAGGAACATGGGATCCATTAGTTGTAGAGACCCTATCTCTGCCAAAACAGAACTGGTAAGTTGAAAAAATAGTAGAGCTCTGGGTCATGTGCTCTGAGGCTCCAAAATCTATAATCCAAAGAGGTCCCTCCTTACCTGAAGTAGAAACATAATTTGCAGTGACGTGTGAACTACTTGTGTAAGCAAAGAAAGTAGAGTGGACTCCACTAGTGCCACCTGTAACTTGTTGTCCGCTTGCGGCTGAACTGGAACTGGTTGTATCCCGCTGGTTCAGAAGTAGCCCATACCTCTCAAGTTCGGCCCTTACTACAGCAGTTGCAACAAACTCCAAAGAAGTTGTAGTAGGAGGGGCCAGAATGTCACCAGTAACTGCCATGTGTGCATTTCCCTTCTTATTTTTCAATCTACTCAGAAGCTTCCAGCAAGTATCTCTTGTGTGTTTAGGCTTCTTACAGTAGTCACAGATCAAATCTCTTTTATCTTCCATCTTGACTTCACTGCCACCCCGATCTCCACTTTGTTTAGGTTTCACAGCACTTACCATGACAGACTGATCAGGAATAAGGTTTTTCATCATCACATCTCTCCTGCACTCCTCCCTTGACACAAAGGCATATGCCTGGGAGAGAGTAACACTGTCCCTGGAAAGGTGTTGTCGTGCAATATCATACTCAGGATTAAGGCCAGCAAAAATTCAAACACCCTTACTTCTCTAGATGTTTCTGATAGGTAGTTGCATCCTTAGTGGTTTCCCAAGCAAATGTCTCTAAATGGTCAATCTCCTGCCACAGGGTTTTAAGGGCTGAAAAATAGGCCGCAACAGGTCTATCTCTCTGCCTTGTAGAAATAATTTGATTTCTCAACTGATAAGCCCTAGCAACATTCTCCCTCTGTGAATAGGTTTCTGCAACCCCATCCCATATTTCCTTAGTTGTATTTGCCCATAAAAAATTTTTACTTATATCGGGAAACATGGAATTACACAACCAAGTCATCACCATATAATTCTCCTGCACCCACCGGGAGTTGCTAGTTTCAGGTTTCACCTCTTCACCAGTGATGTACCCTAATTTCCCATGAGCACCAATGGCCATCTTTGCAGATTGTGACCATTCTAAGWAATTTGCACCATCCAACTTAACTGTAGTAATGGTCCCAGTCCCGAAAAGGTCTCCAGCACCTCCTCCCACTGGTCTCATTTCACTCCCGGGCTTATTTTCAACTCTGTGACCCTCCATGCTTCTCAAAAAATGTAAAGAAAATAACTGAAATTTGCAACAAGATCAAACAAAACACTTTTTGGAACCAACACCACCTTTCTGGTGTCCTAGACTTTCTTCCCACAAAAGATTCCTTTTCTGTAGGACGGGAGAAGAGAGAGAAGAGGCAGCTGCTCTCTCTAGAAGCCTCCAAATCAGGCAGGACTTGAATCGCCCCATACAAAAAACTCCAAGGAACCCTAAAAAATTAGGATACCACTTCCTAGATCAAAATTGAAGAGTCCAACAGAAACAGAACTATTCCCCTTTCTCCAGTTTTTCCTGATTTTGATGAGAAACCCTAAACCAGCTACAGGGCACACAGATCCACAAAAAAATTCAAAAATTGGGCTTACCTGAGAGTTTCGATCAGACTCTTAAATCACCATGCAGCCGGTCGATCTAGGGTTGTATGAGAGAATAACTTCAAGGAACCTTCAGCCCGCTCTGATACCAAATAGAAATAACTAATTGCAGATTTAGTCGAGTTTCTTGTGAAAGGAAAGAGGGGGAAGATAAAGATTTCAGCAGTAGAGAAGAAAGGAGAAGAAGAAAAGAGTAGGAAATCAACCAGGATTCAGAATTAAACCTAGCAGCCTACCTTTCATTATATTTATACTTAACTTAAAGGATGAAATATTACAAGGATGCCCTTAGTAGGGCGGCTACTAATATAGCTGAACAGTCACAACTTAAAAAAACATAAACTAATGAGCCTAAAGCCCAACAACTTCCTAACTAAATAAAAAACAACTCGGACCAACTCAACAATCTCCTTGCAAAGAGGTTTAGTTCTAAATATGGCTGGATAAAAAATACAACAAATGGATGGGCAAATGTTCTAGCAAAACAAGGAGCTGATAGACCTACTTTATTTTGGGCAAAGTTGTAATTTGATGTAATCTAGGCTACTGAATAGACCTGTTCAAGGGCTGAGCTTCAGGCCCAACTTTACACCATTTTGGCAAAAGCCAAGCCCAAGACCGGCCCAGGTCTACTACTGAATTGCTAAAACACTTCTACTTTGTTTCAGTTACTTAATAAGTGAAATTAATTTGCTGATAAAAAAGTTCTCACCATATTATTGAACAAAGAAAGAGAGAGTAAGATTTAAATTGCAAGGGCATGAAAGATGAAAGCAACAGATATGTACCCACCCTGATGCTAAAAGTGAACCAGCTGGACTCCATGCACAAGCAAAAACCTGTAAAAACAAGCAAGGGGAGAATCTTTATGAAAAGCAATAGAAAGCATACTGGTATAGAATTAATAAAAAAGCATAAAATGTGAACTGGAGGAAGAAAGAAAATACATGAGGCAACACCGAACCTCAGAAGTATGTCCTTCCAAAATAGCTACATCGGAGCTAGGAATTTCGCAAGGCAAAGATGGGGAGTTTACACATATATCCATTGGTTCTGGCCCTAGCAAACAGATCAAAAAAATATTTGATAATTTCCCATACAAGAGTATTAATATGTGAGTAGTCAGAATGAAAGTATGCATGCATATATAAATTTTTGGAGAAATTTGTAAAGTACAATTGTATTAAGTCAAAAGTGCATATATTTTATATCTAGATGCTTGTTAAATCCATGAAGGTTTTGTGATTCTCCAAGAGAAGATGCATTATCAGAAGAAATTGGAGTTACCTATGCAAACATGCGAAACAAATACCTATTTAATTACCAGATACAAATCCTGCCTTGATTGGAAGGGTTAATTAAGCTAGATTTTTTATTTTCAAAATTAAGAAACACTAAATAGAATAGAGAAGAAAAATTGATGAATATTTATTAGGGAATAGCTTCCAAAGGCTAGAACAAAAACAAATTATGGGGACAAATGAGAAAATGATGTGAGGGAAAGGATAGAGAGAGAACCAAAAAATGAGGACTCACATAATATATTTAGGCATACAGCTCTCTTCCTTCATATCCCCCCCTAATTTAAAAAGTAAAGGGTTTTATTTCTATTTTTTGAAAAATAAATTGCTTATTCTAAAAATATCTTTCCATCTAATTCAGCAACTTAAAACATAATGCCAATGTATCCCTACTCGATGAAATCATGAAAATGTTAAAATGTGCGTAGTTAGCAGAAGCCCTACCCCATATAACCTCAATTAAAGACAAAAGTACATTGAGTAAAAATTATATTTAAAGCATGTATAAAGTAGTTTAGACAACCAAATGAAATCAAATGCACAAAGAATTGTTTCAGAGTTCTTAGGATGTCTACTACAAACAAACAAACAAACAAACAAAATTTCTCAGGATGTGAATTTAGATACCCATGGAATTAAGGAGAAAAATTGAATGGCATTCTGCCAAAGCTACGACTCCACCCCAAAGGTGACATGGTCAGTCTTTATAAATTATAATTATAGACCTAATTAGTGAGGGGAAGCTACCATAAAGCTGCTTTCAAAAGAAACATGGTCAGCCTTTATAATTAGAAACTAATCAGAAAAAAGCCTTCCCCAATACATGGATCTTGCGTAAGCAAGTTTACACAAGATCCATGCATGAATGATATTGTTTCTAATTACTGCATAGCTGAACAAATAAGGATTCTATTTTCTAATTAGAAACCTAACCTAAAAGGCTCAAATTGTCAATATTTCTTACGTTTCAGTTGGCTAAAAAGCCACCATACCAAGCTAGGATTTGGTAGGTCCAAATATTGGGGAATAACTCAAGAGTCTCTGGACAGATAGGATCATATAGTTTACCTCCACAAACTCCATTGTCTTCCGGTTTGATGGTACTCTTATCTTCACGATCTCTAATTTGTTCTCTATCAATGTGATCCTCATGCTGCTTTTCCTTCTCTTTTTCCCTTTCTCGCTCCTTGTCCTTTTCTATCCTCTCCCTATCCTTTTCCCGTTCTTTTTCCTTTTCTTGTCTTTCCTTCTCTCTTTCTCGCCCTCGTTCTCGTTCATGTTCCCGATCAAGCTCCTTATCCTTTTCTTTTTCCTTATCCTTTGCCCTCTCCTTTTGAAGATTCTCTTTTTTCTCTTTTATAATTTGACGCAGTTCATAGACATCTTTTGTAATAAGATCCAAAGGTTGAAGGAAGGAGAAGTCATCATCCACATCTGCATCACTCTGGAAAGCTTAAAACAAGCAAGAATCAACATAAAAACCTTCGAAATTTATCAAAGTAAGATGCATAAGCCAACCCCGAAATAGTTAGGATTAAGACAGTTGAGTATCAGGTTAAGATGCTTATCTTTGATTTTTTTTTATAATATAAGTTACATCTTTCTTTGATAGAGAACTGAATTTTTAGAAGCAATTAATTACAAGAAAGAAAAAGAAACAAATGATGTTAAACGTACATTACTCAAGTTTGCTTCCAGCTCAAGATATTGAAGTCCTTTCTGAACAAATGTAACAAGAGCACCTGGTGGAACTAAGTTACCATCAATGGGACTCTTGTTGATTCCAGCCTCATATCCTAAAGCAAAAGCTGAATGCGTGAAACCTGAAAGAAAGTATGTAAGCACAAGCACCCAAATGGCATGCATTAGAAGGAAGAATGCAAGTAATTTTGAAACAAAATCCAAATTTCTAAGTTCCCCTACAAATATAAAACAGTGACCACTCCTACTTAGCTAATACACCAAATAATCCAAACATGAACCTGATGTTTCTAAATGAGCAATGGACAAAAAAATAACAAATCCATGCCTTCTAGTTAACTCGAAATGTAAGTTATGATACATATTTCTTCAAATCTAAAGCAGAGATCTTATGAATGGAAAGTGAGAGATTATGACATCCAAATCTTTCAAATGCTGAAATGCATCAGATTCTACACTTAAGACCAAGAAAGCTCGATAACCAATTTCAATGTGTGAGGAACGAATATCCAAATTTACATTATGGTCTAAGATGAAAATATTTTTACTAGTTATCATTTTTTCTAATCTTGTTGCACAAACTTTTGGGTATAATATAAAGGAAGGTATTCAGTTTCAAAAGTCTGCAGACATGCCAAACTCAGCTTTCAACAACACTCGGAGAATTACCTCACAACTCTAGATAACAAATTAACATCTAGGATCCACCAAAATAATTTAACATGTAAGCATGTAGCTAATAAAAATGACTTTGACTTTCTATTGAGACTGGTTTAGGATTTAAACTAAATCCATGAATAAATAGTAGTCCATAGTCAACTAAGATTAGACTAGAGAACCAACATTTCCATTTCACTGCATAATACAAATGCCTAAAAAACAAAATTCCAAAATTTCAAATATTACAAAGCTTTTTATATATCCACCAAAATTTTAATTTCTTCTGTATAAAAGTTCCAGGCATCACTAAAGTATCTAGCAAATCCCGTACATTTAATAAAGTCAAAAGGAAATGGCCATAACATGTAGAAAGTACCCGGATCCTTCCCTTAAAAAAAATCTACCAACTCTAAGCCTATAATCAGCAGCTTTCATTTTTTTTAATTTTTCAAAACATTTATCAGCAACTCAAAGAATTTTATAAGCTTTCATTTTTTAATGATAATTAAATAACAAAATCAAGATTATGTACTAGTATACAATGGCAAACTCAACTTAGAAAAGCCTTAATTATATGGCACCAGCTAAATTATAAGTATCGTTGAACAAGGCTGTTGGTTCTAATTTTCAAAAAGTATTTGAATTTAAAAGGAATGCCAAGATTGATGGTAACTTATCCTACGTGGAGGCTCTACGGAAAGCAAAGAATAAGGGTGGGGAAGAAAAGGGCCCAAGGGCGAACCACCCAGTGTTCTAAAAGTGCAAGGCGCAAAAGAAGTGCAAGGGGCAATTTGTGCCTGAGACGCAAGGCGGAAGGTGAGGCGCTTACTTTTTTGAAGCAAGGCACAAAAATCAAAAAAAAATGTAAAAAATAAAAAGATATTGAACATAATATTAACAAAAAATGTGAACTTAAATTTTAAAATAAATGTTTTGAAAAACCTATTACCTAAAATTAAAATACATAAACATAGCATCTAAAGCGTATTCAAATGAAAATTTAAAAATAAAATCAAACATATAAAAACATTTTCAAGCATGTAAAACCCACAATCAATTTTTTCCTTCAATTATTTATTAAAAAAAAAATTTCCCTCAATTGCATTACTTCAAGTAGCTCATGTGATGTAAAACATATTGCATTCCTGATTCTATGAACCGCCTTTGTACCAAGCCCCTCAAGGCAAGCCCAAACAAGTCCATGTTAGGGTCCCCCTATTTGCTAATGTTGTTCATTCATTTATCCTAATAAAATATCTTCTAAAAAGGCAAATAAAATTATAACATGAACTTGCTTGGGCTTGCCTTGAGGGGCGTGGTCGGGGGTCCGAGGGCAAAGCCCCTGGCCCAGCCGCTAGGTTCAAAAAAGAGCAAAAAAGCGTAAAAATTTAACAAAGGCACATGCCTAGGCTGAGGCACAAGGCGCATCAAGTGCACACCTAGGCACACCAGGCATGCGCCTTTTGAAAGTGTTGCACCTAGGCATCCCTTTTAAATCACTAGAACCTCCTAATCGATTTAAATGTAAAACCCAACCTCTGGGATGACATAAAAGTCACGTGGGATTATGGAGGCAGGTCAATGGGTGACGGTAACTTGGGTCCAATTTTGTCCCCTTCAACCTCTGTGAACCAACAGGGAGTGAAGTCTAATCAGCTACAATGGATGAAACACCCCTCCTTCCAAGACAAACCCAATCCATGGTATTGTAGAAGCAAAGCGGATTGGAGAGGCGATATTGCAAATGAATGGAGTAGCTATGGTGATTCTGAAGATGTTAACTGTTCAAAAGAGTGCTCAAGTTTTGGCAGATTGGAAGAAACAATCCAGGTATGCTTGGACGAAGAAGACAACAGGTGCCTAGGGGTGCCCACGAGCCGAGCTCTTCACGAGCTACTTGAGCTCGGCTCGTGAAAAGCTTGACTTGGCTTGATTAATAAATGAGCCGAGCTCGAGCCAAGCTCGAGCTCAAGCCTTGTACTACTTTGGCGAGCCGAGCTCGAGCCTCGTACTATTCGGCTCGGCTCGGCTCGGCTCGGCTCAAATCCACCCCTATGTGCCTAGACACACTATTAGAGTGGAAAATATTAGTGGTACTCATACTGGTGATCTTCCTAGCCAAAAAATAAAAGAATAACAAGGAGTACAGGGGAGTCAAGTTCTCTTAAAACGCCTCTCATTTGCACAAAAAATATTACAAAGGTGCAACTTCATTATAGGAGTGGTTTAAACAGCTCCCGCCAGTTGTAGTTGGGACCTTTTAGTGATCAAGAAGGAAAGGAACCAGACTTACTAAAGCAGCAAGCTCAGGATGACTGGACAAAGGATTTTCAAGGAAACCATTTAACCTTATTAGCAAATCCGATTGAAGTAACAAATGCAATGTTGACTCAGGCTGGAGTAAGTATGTTGCACTCTCACTCAGACAGGGCTGAATTAAATAAAAAGGGGCACCTTATGCTGGAACAGGGAAACAAAACCTCTTTGCCTATTGTGCAAGCTCCTTCACACTCTTCGGGTAATCTTTGTAACTCTAATAGTTTGATTTTGAGTATTGATTTCCCTTTCATTGCCTTTGCAGACTTACCAGCTTCCATCATTGTTCCTAGAATGCCCATGGTTGTGCCTGAAGGGGGGAGTGGATGGTGTAAGGGGAAATTTTGTGGGGTGTGTACCAAGAATTAGAGCTTTCTAAGACAAAACAAGGGACTGGTACGGAAAATAAAGGACATTTTGAGGCAGGTAAAGGGAAGGGGGTTAAGAAAAGGAGGAAGTTGAATGAAGTTGAAAAACTTATTAATGATGTACGAGGGGATAAGGAATTCAGTAGGAGAAGAAAGGGAGGCCGTAGGTAGCTAAGGGTTGGGGATAAACATCAATTGAGACCATGAAGATCACTAGTTGGAATTTGAAGGGTTTAAGAAGTGCGACAAAGAGAAGAATAATCAAGGAAACGTTGAGGAAAGAAAAACCTTGTTTAGTGCTTATTCAGGAATCCAAAATCCAGGAGGTTGATAGCAAATGGATCAGAGGCTTTTGGGGAGAGAGTAATATTAGGTGGAACTTTGCCCCATCATGGGGAGCTTTGGGGGGTATCATAACAATCTAGAGGGATGAAGCCGTGCAATGCATCAAAGAGATGGTGGGTAAATATTTAATGTCTATAAAACTAAGGAATGTACATGATGGGTTTGAATGGGTTCTCACACAAATGTGTATGGGACCTATGGGCCAAACTCTTACAAAGAAAGAAATCTGTTTTAGGATGAGTTGGCAAACATCAGAGGACTATGGGAAGGATTGTGGTGTCAAGGGGGAGATTTTAACATAATCAGGATTGTGGAAGAATCAAACGGATGTAGAAGGGTCACAACAAGCATATTAAAATTTAATGAGTTCATAGAGGCCTTTGGATTAAAATCTCTCTCTGGGGCAATTGAGATTTGCATGGCCTAATCTTCAAGCTAATTCGATATGTTCTAAACTTGACAAACTGTAAGTGTCACTAGACTGGGAAGAGCATTGGACAGACTTGCTAGGAAGAAATTTGCCTAGAATTACTTCAGACCATTTCTCGATATGCTTGTTTCAAAGGAGATTCGATGGGGGCCCAATCCCTTTCTGATTCAAAAACATGTGGCTTACCCACCCGGAGTTTAAAGATAGGGTAAAGGAGTGGTGGGCTTCTCAGATCTAGATTCCAAGATGGGAAGGCCAAAAGTTCCTAAAGAAGTTGCAGGTGCTCAAAGAGAAAATAAAAGAGTGGACTAAAATGAAACTCGGGAGATTGGAAGAAAAGAAAGCATGTTTGATCTTTCAGATTTAGGAAATTGATAGGAAGGAGGTGGATGGTCCTATATCTGATAGTGACAAAGGTTTGAGGTGGTCTTTGAAGAATGATTTAGAGGCCCCCTCTTAAGAGATGAAATTTGTTGGAAACAAAAATCTAGAGAGAGATGGATCAAGGAGATGGAATACAAGATATTTTCATAGCATTGCAAATGGCAAGAGGAGGAAGAGTCTAATTACTTCATTATGTGTGGGGGACACTAAGATCACAAATCAAAACGAGATAGCCAAGACAGTGGTGGATCATTTTAGAGCATTCTTTCAAAGACAGTTTAATGAGAGATGGTCAATTGAAGGTCTAGAATGGGAGGTGTTGAGAGAAGATCAAGTGGAGCTCCTGGAAAAAAGATTTGAGGGGGAAATTAAGGAAGCAATTTTCTCAATGGACAAATCTAAAGCTTCAGGTCCTGATGGTTTTACAATGGCTTTCTATCAAGATTGCTGGGAGATATCAAAGCGAATTTGGTTGGAGTGTTCAATGAATTCCATAGCAAGGGTAAAATTAGCTCGGAGATTAACTCCACTTTCATAGCTTTGGTCCCTAACCCTAGAAACCAGGTGCTATCCATCTAAGGGATTTCAGACCTATCAGTCTAGTAACCAGCATATACAG